AAATTAACTGGGTATACACTACACTATATAATGAATACCATATAGTAAACTGATAAAAAAACTAAAATATAAACTACATCAATGTTATCAATAAACTCAATATACTCTCCAATCAGCTGAGCTACGAACAATAAGTCATTATACATTACAATTCTGTCGAAAAAAGTGGCGGTTTCTTTTTTCTTTTCAACGTTAGCACCACGGAAAGCGACGAGCTTTGTTCAGACAGACGAGTCCATCTATGCTCGGAACGGAGGAGGGGGGAGAGAGAAACAGCCACGATGCGCTGCTCTGTCCTGTGTTGCGTTACAACTATGCTAGAAACTAGACTACTATACATTACAATATTATACCTTCCAATCTAAACTACATTGTATAATATCGTATACACAGCCCAATGTAAGCTCTAACATTATGCATTATATTGATGACTCCAACTAAACTTTTTCTACATTACACGACTATACACCGTAATATACACTGCCATAGACAAACCCCACCATTGAATTATACAATGTGTTACTATAGACTATCCTATACTTTAGACTATAAAAATATTAGACTTGTAATATTACACTATGTATTATTCTACCAACCCTACTGTATACCACACTGCTGTATATTCACTTTACAATTACGATACTATAGATTGCCTTATGAATGTTAAACATTACACTGTTATATTATTTATTATTATACAATATGCTATAAACCATACCATTGACCGTCGTGTGAAAGGTACTAAGAGGCAGTGCCAGCGAATGGACTGCGGTCTGAAAGTCACCGTAAAATACAATCAATCAAGAACCGAAATGGTTTATCACGTCTTTCCAATGGTTGCTAAGCCAGAATCCATCTTCTCCAGTTGAAATTGTCTCTGTGTTTGTATATGTGGATGGTCTCATGAACTAATCTCTCATGGTAATCGGATGGCTTGCAGAGAACCTCCGTCTTGGAGAAGTCAATGTCATGTGAGCCTACTGAATTATAACAGTGATCTGCCACGGCTGAGGTGTTCGTCCTACCGTGTTTCAATTCTGCTTTATGTTCATGGATGCGGTCCGAGATATGTCGTTTTGTTTCTCCAATGTAACTGCTACCACAGAGGCAACTTAGTTTGTAGATGCCCGGGTACTGTATGTCTGGAACCACATCTTTAACAGACGGGACCAGATCACGGATTTTATGTACTGTGTTGAATCGGACCTGGATAGTGTTTATTCAGGATTTTAGAGATCTTTTTTGTGACACACTGCAATGAGGGTAAGGTGATTGTTTTGAATGGCTCCTCAAGAGGATCCTTCTTCATGGTTGGAGTGATGGCTTTGCGGATTGTGTAGTCGGAGTAACCATTAGCCTTGAGAGCTTGGTGTACGTGCTAATCCCCCAGTTACATGCTAATTTCTAACTTTAACATCCTGCTAATCTAACACATTAACACAGCTACTTCAATGCTAAATTCTTGTTGATATGTAAACTCCTTTGTCAAGGTACTCTGCTCCTCCCACCCAGCTTAAAAGACGCTGCCAAGCTTAGCAGTGTTCATTGGAGTGCTAACTTCCCGACAGTTGTTTCTTCACCTGAGGAAGGCTACTTGCGTTGTGGCCGAAACGTCGTGAGAATTTAATTGTTTTGTTTTTATTATTTTATTATTTCCCTTCTACGTGACTTTACCGAAAGAACCAAGATGGGCTGCTTTTTGTGTTTAGTTCGTTGTCCTTCCTTCACACATCCGATTAGCACGGTTGGCTACGTATGGTGCGAAATAAGTTCAATATGAATACGAGCCAATCAAAATAAACTGTTTTATTTTACCAGGTAAGGCCCACTGTGCTATATACAGTGAGGGAAAAAAGTATTTGATCCCCTGCTGATTTTGTACGTTTGCCCACTGACAAATAAATGATCAGTCTATAATTTTAATGGTAGGTTTATTTGAAAAGTGAGAGACAGAATAACAAAGTGTGATCTGTATGATAGCGGTGTGGGTCCTGTGATTACAGTAAATAATTTCCTTTGAAGTTGCGATTATTCTGATGCTAGTTTACCTTACTAAAGGCACCACGGTGGCGAGATGTTAACTACCTCCCCTTGTGTACATCTTTCAGATGCTCATCTGTGGCCGTCTGGAACGCTTTTGCTTACGATATTCGGCTCACTGGAGCGATGCACTTTTAAATCAACATCTAGATTGACAAACTAATTTCTTTACAAATACTTTTTGTGTTTAGTTTGTTGTCCTTCGATTCGCATGGTTGGCTACGTACAGTGCGAAATAAGTTCAACATACATACAGTGAGGGAAAAAAGTATTTGATCCCCTGCTGATTTTGTACGTTTGCCCACTGACAAAGAAATGACCACTATCATTTTAATGGTAGGTTTATTTGAAAAGTGAGAGACAGAATAGCAACAAAATCCAGAAAAACGCATGTCAAAAATGTTATAAATTGATTTGCATTTTAATGAGGGAAATAAGTACTTGACCCCCTCTCAATCAGAAAGATGTCTGGCTCCCAGGTGTCTTTTATACAGATAACGAGCTGAGATTAGGAGCACACTCTTAAAGGGAGTGCTCCTAATCTCAGCTTGTTACCTGTATAAAAGACACCTGTCCACAGAAGCAATCAATCAGATTCCAAACTCTCCACCATGGCCAAGACCAAAGAGCTCTCCAAGTATGTCAGGGACAAGATTGTAGACCTACACAAGGCTGGAATGGGCTACCCATTGCCAAGCTGCTTGGTGAGAAGGTGACAACAGTTGGTGCGATTATTGGCAAATGGAAGAAACACAAAAGAACGGTCAATCTCCCTTGGCCTGGGGCTCCATGCGAGATCTCACCTCGTGGAGTTGCAATGATCATTAGAACGGTGAGGAATCAGCCCAGAACTACACGGGAGGATCTTGTCAATGACCCCAAGGCAGCTGGGACCATAGTCACCAAGAAAACAATTGGTAACACACTACACCGTGAAGGACTGAAATCCTGCAGCGCCCGCAAGGTCCCCCTGCTCAAGAAAGCACATATAGATGCCCGTCTTAAGTTTGCCAATGAACATCTGAATGATTCAGAGGACAACTGGGTGAAAGTGTTGTGGTCAGATGAGACCAAAATGGAGCTCTTTGACATCAACTCAACTCGCCGTGTTTGGAGGAGGAATGCTGCCTATGACCCCAAGAACACATCCCCACCGTCAAACATGGAGGTGGAAACATTATGCTTTGGGGGTGTTTTTCTGCTAAGGGGACAGGACTTCACCGCATCAAAGGGACGATGGACGGGGCCATGTACCGTCAAATATTGAGTGAGAACCTCCTTCCCTCAGCCAGGGCATTGAAAATGGGTCATGGATGGGTATTCCAGCATGACAATGACCCAAAACACACGGCCAAGGCAACAAAGGAGTGGCTCAAGAAGAAGCACATTAAGGTCCTGGAGTGGCCTAGCCAGTCTCCAGACCTTATTCCCACAGAAAATCTGTGGAGGGAGCTGAAGGTTCGAGTTGACAAACGTCAGCCTCGAAACCTTAATGACTTGGAGAAGATATGCAAAGAGGAGTGGGACAAAATCCCTCCTGAGATGTGTGCAAACCTGGTGGCCAAATACAAGAAACGTCTGACCTCTGTGATTGCCAACAAGGGTTTTGCCACCAAGTACTAAGTCATGTTTTGCAGAGGGGTCAATTACTTATTTCCCTCATTAAAATGCAAATCAATATATAACATTTTCGACATGCGTTTTTCTGGATTTTGTTGTTATTCTGTCTCTCACTGTTCAAATAAACCTACCATTAAAATTATAGACTGATCATTTCTTTGTCAGTGGGCAAACGTACAAAATCAGCAGGGGATCAAATACTTTTTTCCCTCACTGTACGTTTTTCAAAAGCGACCTGGCCACAAATGGTAGCTCAACAAAGTGGCTGATCCTGTGGTAATTTAGAGCAGCCAAATACTCCAAACGGACGTTTTTAAATTAGGAGGGAAAAACCTGAGGACCCGGAGAAAAATCCACGGAATCACGGGAGAGAGACACGCAAACTCCAAATATACAGCAGGCGTCAGGGTCGGAATCAAACCCATGACATCCTGCGTACCAGGCGAGGGAGTTACATCTCCTAGCCACTGCTCAACACAATCACTATTTCAACGTTGCCAGCCTAGACTAAGCTTCTTGCAATCGGAACGTTGAGTTCAAATCCTGGGATCGATGTAATTCGCGCCACTTTCATAGGGAAGACAAAAGTGGTTGGTCCTATGGATAGACTCACCCTTGATAACAATCATAACAATTTAAAATGATAAAGTGCTCCTTGAAACAACCATTCTCAGGACGCTATGGGTGAAAAAGTCAGAAATAATTTAACATCAACCAGGAAAAGAAAATGTTTGAAACTAGAGAAAGCCATTTTAAACAGGTTTTTTTAATTTAAAGCTTTCGAGACTGCAGGGATTCATATTCTTGGTTCTTTCGGTAAAGTCACGTAGAAGGGAAACAATAAAAATATAAAACAATAAAATTCTCACGACGTTTCGACTGCAACACAAGCAATCATCATCAGGTGTGAAAACCACAGCAAGAAAATTTGAAAAAAGTGGCGGTGTTTCAAATTTTATTGCTGTGGTTTTCACACCTGATGATGATTGCTTGTGTTGCAGTCGAAACGTCGTGAGAATGTTATTGTTTTATATTTTTATTATTTTAATGTTTCCCTTCTACGTGACTTCACCGAAAGAACCAAGAATATAGGGTTTTTTTAGTCGAGGTTTGAAGATTTGTCTCGGAAGTTGTGACCTCTAAGGGGAAGGAGTTCCAGAGTTTAGCTGCCTACAATTGCAAAGGCACGATGCCCATTTAAAAAAAAAGGAAATCACTTGCCTCTTAACAAAACTGGCTTTAATAAATTTCTGCTCTGCATCTCAAACACACCAAGTTTTGTCGCACCAAACACAGCGTTTCACTCTGTAAAAATCAAAACGCAACGTGGAGAAAACAAGCGAAATCTGGTTGCATCTTTATTTTTTACGTCGTACGCCAATTTATTGTACAGTTAATAAGGGTATGGAACATTTACCACGTGCCATCATCTTCACACCGAGGGCCAACATTTCTCAAACAAACGGCGGCTCGTTGGATGCGTCTTTAGAGGGCGGCGATGGGCTTGAACGGCCAGAACGGGTACTTGACTTTGTCCAACTTGGTCTCAGGGAAGGCTTCGTTTAAGTCATCGATGGTCATCTCTTCCACATGGACCATGTTTCTCATCTTCTCCAGCTTAAAAAAAAAAACGCGATAAACATTCCCTCTTGTCATTAACACCGGCAATAAAAAACAACCCATCTCCTCGACATCATGTTTAATACGAACCGCCCTGCATCTCGACACTATAGGCATATTGTTTTAAGTCGCCGGGGTCCATCTTTACAGACGCAAATATAAGTATGCATACACGAAACACTAAAAGAACATATTTTTTTCTTGAACCAGGTGAGAACTCTAAGAGACAAGGACAGTCATCTTGCAAGAGTGACCTGGAAGAGACTAAAAACGTCAGCAAATTACAAGCCCCGGACTTGCTACAATCGTCTTGCTTTGGTGTGGCGCTGCACATTACACACGACAGTTGTTTTTGACGTTGTTGTAACCAAGCGCTGGACAATGAGCCCACCGATGCATCGCTTTGTGCTCCATGTTCACATCAGCGTTATCGCGTCTACATCTCGCGGACATTTTATAAAGACGAGGGACGATTACATGGCGAGGGTCTTACAAGCCACGTGCGTAACATCCCTCCTTCTTATCCGTTGCCTCTCCAGCAGCTACCGTTATTGAGGAATCCCCACATCTCACACTGTGCATTTTAATTGATATATTTAAGGTAAAATTTCCCCAACAGAAGCCTTAAAGACATTTAACACGGTGGGTTTTTCGCGGGCCAATATTATTAATAACAGATTTTTTTGGGGTTTTACCATTCAATGATTTGTGTCATTAAGACCCCTCCAGCAACTCACACAGCCAAACAAATACATTGTCACTTGTACAAGCATTTAACATGCCAATTATAATAATTATTTCAGCTCATTGGTAAGTTGAACAATTCTCATAACCAAATTTAACATGTTTTGAAACTACATTGAAATCTTCAGGACAAAATCCAGTAAGTGATAACAATTCAGGAAGTCAGAATGTGACACCCAACCCAGCTTGTTATATAGGTGTCATCATTTACATATCAGTTTCACACGTAGGCTTTCTCGACCAATATTATTCATAATAAAGTTTTTTTTGGGCTAGATCGCGTAAATATAAATGTGTCGTTAAACCTGCCACCACCCGATACAGCCAATTAGTAAGGTTTGTCACGTAAACAAAACGTGCCAAACATTTACTACTTCAACCTATCAGTGTGTTGGAGATTAAACCCACAACATTTAAAATTTAAGCCCGACGTTTTGCTGGTAATTACATCCAGCATCATCGGCGATTTTTCCAGAACTGTGAAGAGCTCCATCCTACGTCTGGTCTTAAATAGAGCAAGATACCTGGGCACCGCGCTTACCTCTTTCTCGTACCCAGCAATGCGCTGTTTGGAAGCTTGAATGAATTCCTGTGCCGATTTATCCTGAAACCGATGCACGGGGGGGGAGGTGGGGGTGTCGTAAAAACAATAGTCTCACAAAGCACCAAACAACAGTCCTGAATCCAGCAGTTATTTCTGCGAGTCTCAGAAACCCGAGGAGGCCGAGATGATCCACGCACCACAAGGAGAGAACACTCGAATGTCCTCAGATGGGTTCACGAATTCCCTTTTGTGCACCGCGACCATCTCCTCGCCTCTCCGGTTTGGGAGTAACACAGTGCTATGTGATCCACCAACCCTTGCTACCAGCGCACTGTATCACAGGTGTGCGCTGTCACACCTGGCTTTACTGTAATCCTTAACACCTATGGCAAGAACAATCCCTACGTGCGTGTTGGTCTTGCCTGTACAATAATAATAACAATAATAATAATAACAATAATAACAAGACGTCTGCAAGCCGCAGGGTGTGGTAGTGTCCCGTTCACTGCTGAACCTCAGAACGTGCGAGCGGCTTGGTGTTAATTTTATTTAGAGGCGTAATAGCGCCGTTGTTTTTAAGGACGTTGTTACTCACCACGGAGAACCGGAGCGACACGAACGCCGCCCTCTACGATAGCCGGTGCCAAAACTGTGCCGCACACCTTCCCGCGTGGCCTTTTGAGAGCCTCGGTACCGATAAAGTTTTTTCATTTTTAGTTTTTCTTCTGGAATGGGAAAGGGTTAATAGCTGAATAGTGAATGCACGCGTGAAAGGAACGGCACTCACAGCTTCCTTCTCCTGGATGGCGATCTTTGAGGAGTAGTTGTCCACAGGCTCAGGGACCTTTAAAGCATTGAACTAAAACAAAGAAAATGTGAAAACAGAGTGAATTATAGACTCATGAGCAAGTGAATATTTGCACATGCATGCATGCAAATGCATATGACTAGAACCCATACAGATGTAATTTCATCTTCTTTGGTTCTTTCGGTAAGGTCACGTAGAATGAGAATAAAATAATAAAATAACACAATAAAATCCTCACGACGTTTCGGCCACAACACAAGCGGCCGTCTTCAGGTGAAAGGAACAGACCTCTCGGGACGACAGAGCTTCAATGAACGATGTTAAGATTCGTAGCGACTTTTAAGCTGGTTGGGAGAAGTGAGGCACCTTGACAAAGGGGTTTACATATCAAATAGCTGAGGGATTAGCTTGTGACTGGTCACAGGAAAGGCTATGTTAAAGTCAAAACCTACACATCCACAGAGGCAACTAGTAATTTATCATTGAAATAGCTAAGGGATTAGCTTGTGCAAATAGCTGAGGGATTAGCGTGTGACTGGTCACGAAAATGGCTATGTTAAAGTCAAAACCTACACATCCACAGAGGCAACTAGTAATTTAGCATTGACATAGCTAAGGGATTAGCTTGTGACTGGTCACAGAAATAGATGTTAAAGTCAAAGCCTACACACATCCACAGAGGCACCTCGTACATGGACGCCAAAGGGGGCTGCAACAACTCAACTGTCATACAGTAAACCGATGTGAAAAACCTAATTCTAAATAACATCAATATAATATATTCTTCAATAAGCTGAGCTATTAACATTAACTGGGTATACACTACACTATATAATGAATACCATATAGTAAACCAATAAAAACTAAAATATAAACCACCTCAATGTTATATCACAATGTTATATTTGATATGTAAACCACTTTGTCAAGGTGCCTCACTTCTCCCAACCAGCTTAAAAGTCGCTACGAATCTTAACAGCGTTCATTGAAGCTCTGTGGATGTGTAGGCCTTTACTTTAACATCTATTTCTGTGACCAGTCACAAGCTAATCCCTTAGCTATTTCAATGCCAAATTACTAGTTGCCTCTGTGGATGTGTAGGTTTTGACTTTAACATAGCCATTCCTGTGACCAGTCACAAGCTAATCCCTCAGCTATTTGATATGTAAACCCCTTTGTCAAGGTGCCTCACTTCTCCCAACCAGCTTAAAAGTCGCTACGAATCTTAACATCGTTCATTGAAGCTCTGTCGTACCGACAGGTCTGTACCTTTCACCTGAAGACGGCCGCTTGCGTTGTGGCCGAAACGGCGTGAGAATTTTATTGTTATTTGATTATTTTATTCTCATTCTACGTGACCTTACCGAAAGAACCAGAGAAGATGAATCCTTGCAGTCACGAAAGCTTTAAATCGAAAGATGTAATTTCAATCAAACATTCAAATGATTATCAAAGCTCTTTGTTTTTTTTGGAAAAGTCACGTAGATAAAACAAAATAAAAGAAAACCACTAAATCAAATCACGACGTTTGAGGCAACACAAGCTTCCGTCTTCAGGTGGAACAGTCACAGCAAGATAGCTGTATCAAGTGGTGAGCTCTGAGACCCTCGAGCTTATATACAGGTTAAGGTGGGGGGGAGGAGCCAAGCAGGGAACGACGACGAGGCCAAGTTAATCCGTCTTTTGTTATGTTGAGGGTTCGGGGGAAGCGGTGGTTCACTGCACGGGGGCAATGAAAAATGGTTTAAAAGGCTGTGCGCTTATAAAGTAGCTGAAGTTTTGACTTGGTTTATGACATCTTTCCAGTGGTTGCTTAATTAAAAACCATCCTCTCAGTTGAAGTTGTGTCTACATTTGTATATCTGGATGGCTTCATGAACAAATCTTTGTCAATAACCAGGAGGTTTGCATAGTACTTTGGTATCGGAGAAAACAATATCATGATCACACACAGAATTGTAACAATGATCAGCCACGGCAGAAGAATTTGTTCTGCCGTGTTTCAAATCTGATTTGTGCTCGCGAATTCGGTCAGAAATATGTCGTTTCATCCACCCTTCGTCCTTTCCTGTGGAAGAGATATGTCGATGCCACTTTCGTCATTTGGCCAAATGGCCTCCCAGCTTTGAACCATTTCCTAGACCACATCAATTCCAGACACCCATCCATCAAATTCACCATGGAAGTGGAGAAAGATGGCAAGCTGCCATTCTTGGACATTCTGTTTGAGAGGAGGACTGATGGCTCTTTGGGACATTCTGTTTACAGGAAGTCCACCCACACAGATTCCTACTTGAAGCCTGATTCCCACCACCACCCGGCTCAAAATAATTCTCTCATCAAAACATTATACCATAGAGCTCATTGCATTTCTGACCAACACCACCTGACCAGTGAATTGAAACATGTACATCTAGCCCTCAAGATGAACGGTTACTCTGACCGTATCATCCGCCAAGCTGTTTCTCCAACCATACAGAAGCAACCACTTGACACTCCGATCAAAATCATCACACTGCCATACATAGCAGGCATCACCAAAAGGATTTCCAAAATTCTAAACAAACACAAGATCCAGGTTCGGTTCAATACAGTACACAAAATCCGTGATCTAATCCCATCCGTAAAAGATGTCATTCCTGACTTACAGTATCCCGGTGTATACAAATTGAGTTGTATCTGCGGTGACTGCTAAATCGGGGAGACGAAACGACATATTTCTGACCGAATTCGCGAGCACAAATCAGATTTGAAACACGGCAGAACGAATTCTTCGGCAGTGGCTGATCATTGTCTCAACACAGCGGGTTCTCATGACATTGTTTTCTCCGATACCAAAGTACTATGCAAACATCCCGGTTATTGACAAAGATTTGTCCATGAAGCCATCCAGATATACAAACAGACACAACTTCAACCGAGAGGATGGTTTTAAATTAAGCAACCACTGGAAAGATGTCATAAACCAAGCCAAAACTTCAGCTACCTTATAAGCGCACAGCCTTTTTAACCATTTTTCATTGCCCCTGTGCAGTGAACCACCGCTTCCCCCGAACCCTCAACATAACAAAAGATGGATTAACTTGGCCTCGTCGTCCCTCCTTGCTTGGCTCCTCCCCCCCACCTTAACCTGTATACAAGCTCGAGGGTCTCAGAGCTCACCACTTGATGCAGCTATCTTGCTGTGACTATTCCACCTGAAGACGGAAGCTTGTGTTGCCTCCGAAACGTCGTGATTTGATTGAGTGGTTTTCTTTTATTTTGTTTTATCTACTTGACTTTACCGAAAAAAACAAAGAGTATGAATCCTTGCAGTCATGAAAGCTTCAAATCTAGGATTACCAAAGCATTTGGTATTCTCTCCATTCCTATAAGTGCAGAGCTATCTAGAAGGCACCACAATTCACATGACGCCACGCATAATCCCAACTGAGTACAGGCATACCGCGGTTTCTGCCCAGGATGCGTTCCTGAAAACCAGAATGTAAAGCACGGATACCTAAATCGAAGCATTTCTCGTGGATCGTAACGTGGTACGGTGAGGGAAAAAAGTATTTGATCCCCTGCTGATTTTGTACGTTTGCCCACTGACAAAGAAATGATCAGTCCATAATTTTAATGGTAGGTTTATTTGAACATTGAGAGACAGAATAACAACAAAAAAATCCAGAAAAACGCATGTCAAAAATGTTATAAATTGATTTGCATTTTAATGAGGGAATTAAGTATTTGACCCCCTCTCAATCAGAAAGATTTCTGGCTCCCAGGTGTCTTTTATACAGGTAACAAGCTGAGATTAGGAGCACACTCTTAAATGGAGTGCTCCTAATCTCAGCGTGTTACCTGTATAAAAGACACCTGTCCACAGAAGCAATCAATCAGATTCCAAACTCTCCACCATGGCCAAGACCAAAGAGCTCTCCAAGGATGTCAGGGACAAGATTGTAAACCTACACAAGGCTGGAATGGGCTACAAGACCATTGCCAAGCAGCTTGGTGAGAAGGTGACAACAGTTGGTGCGATTATTCGCAAATGGAAGAAACACAAAATAACTGTCAATCTCCCTCAGCCTGGGGCTCCATGCAAGATCTCACCTCGTGGAGTTGCAATGATCATGAGAACGGTGAGGAATCAGCCCAGAACTACACGGGAGGATCTTGTCAATGACCTCAAGGCAGCTGGGACCATAGTCACCAAGAAAACAATTGGTAACACACTACGCCGTAAAGGACTGAAATCCTGCAGCGCCCGCAAGGTCCCCCTGCTCAAGAAAGCACATATACATGCCCGTTTGAAGTTTGCCAATGAACATCTGAATGATTCAGAGGACAACTGGGTGAAAGTGTTGTCGTCAGATGAGACCAAAATGGAGCTCTTTGGTATCAACTCAACTCGCCGTGTTTGGAGGAGGAATGCTGCCTATGACCCCAAGAACACCATCCCCACCGTCAAACATGGAGGTGGAAACATAATGCTTTGGGGGTGTTTTTCTGCTAAGGGGACAGGACTTCACCGCATCAAAGGGACAATGGACGGGGCCATGTACCATCAAATCTTGGGTGAGAACCTCCTTCCCTCAGCCAGGGCATTGAAAATGGGTCGTGGATGCGTATTCCAGCATGACAATGACCCAAAACACACGGCCAAGGCAACAAAGGAGTGGCTCAAGAAGAAGCACATTAAGGTCCTGGAGTGGCCTAGCCAGTCTCCAGACCTTAATCCCATAGAAAATCTGTGGAGGGAGCTGAAGGTTCGAGTTGCCAAACGTCAGCCTCGAAACCTTAATGACTTGGAGAAGATTCTAGATTTGAAGCTTTCGTGACTGCAAGGATCCATACTCTTTGGTTCTATTCGGTAAAGTCACGTAAAAGTATAAAACAACAAAAATAAAAAATTCACGACGTTTCGGCCACAACACAAGTGGCCTTCATCAGGTGAAGGGACCAGACTGTCTCGAGGACAGCACTGGAGTGAACACAGCCAAGCTCAGACCTTGAACTTTAAGCTGTGTGAGAGGAAGCAGAGCGCCTTGACAAAGGAATTAGCATAAAAAATTGCATTTAATTGGCGGACTAAGCATGATGAACGGTGTAGAGAGGGGGAACATGTGCAGACCGGCGAGGGGGGGAGGGGGCGTTTACATATTTATGGTGTGAAAAGGGAATTTAAGCAGCTGCGAAAGTTTGGGATACCACTACTTGAAAAAAGATACTGTACCATTGAAAATTAGTTTAATGTTTGGTTCGATTTAGAACATCTTTCCAATGGTTGCTTAATTTGAAACCATCTTCTCGGTTGAAATTGTGTCTGTGTTTGTAAATCTGAATTGCCTCGTGAACAAATCTCTGATAAAAACCCGTGGGTTTGCAAAGAACCTTGGTATCGGAGAAAATTATATCGTGATCACCCACAGCGTTGTTCAGTGATCAGCTACGGCAGAAGAATTCGTTCTGCCGTGTTTCAAATCTGATTTGTGCTCGCGAATTCGGTCAGAGACATGTCGTTTCATCTCCCCGATATAGCAGTCACCACAGGTGCAGATCAATCTGTAAACTCCGGGGTACTGTAAGTCAGGAATGACATCCTTCACGGAAGGGATCAGGTCACGGATTTTGTGTACTGTATTGAACCGGACCAGGATCTTGTGTTTGTTTAGAATTTTGGAGATCTTTTTAGTAACGCCTGCTATATATGGCAGTGTGATGGTTTTGATCGGAGTATCAAGTGGTTGTTTCTGTATGGAGGGAGAATCAGTTTGGAGGATGGTATGGTCAGAATATCCATTCCTTTTGAGGGCCAGATGCACATGTTTTAAATCACTGGAGATGATCTGCAAAGAGGAGTGGGACAAAATCTCTCCTGAGATGTGTGCAAACCTGGTGGCCAACTACCAGAAACGTCTGACCTCTGATTGCCAACAAGGGTTTTGCCACCAAGTACGAAGTCATGTTTTGCAGAGGGGTCAAATACTTATTTCCCTCATTAAAATGCAAATCAATTCATAACATTTTTGACATGCGTTTTTCTGGATTTTTTTGTTGTTATTCTGTCTCTCACTGTTCAATTAAACCTACCATTAAAATTATAGACTGATCATTTCTTTGTCAGAGGGCAAACGTACAGAATCAGCAGGGGATCAAATACTTTTTTACTCACTGTATAGGCTGTACCCATACAGAGAATGCTCAGTAAGCCATTGCGCATCTGTACTGTAACAATCTCCGGTGTGAAAAGTGTATATTATTGATACATTAAGATATATTAACCTTGTCTACAATACTACATGTATTATACTCTTTGGTTCTATTTGGTAAAGTCACGTAAGTAAAAAATAAAACAAAAATAATCACGACGTTTTGGCCACAACACAAGCGGCCTTCATCAGGTGAACGGACCAGACTGTCTCGAAGACTGCGCTGGAGTGGAAAAAAAAATAAAAAAATCTAGAACTACATGTATTATTATTCGTCGTTAATAAAAAAAATGCTTACACCGGTATAAAAAGTCGCCATAAAAAAACAGTATGCGGGGAAGAAAATATGAAGCGACTATAGCTAGTCAGGGACGCCAACGTTCGGGTGCCATCTGCCGCCAGAATGTTCGCCATGGAAAGTAAAAAAACATGGCGCTTAATGGTTAAGTTCGTAAATCTTGAGCACACTATGGCGAGAGACCACAGTACATAAAACGGGACTGGGTATAAATAAGCCGAGTGTGTTACAGCAAAAGTCCGCAGAAAGGGAGGGGACGTAAATCCGGGTGTCGCTGCATTGTGCGGGGTCAACTTTTTGAGCATGGCAAATTTGGACCGTGATGCCAACGCATAATGGCCTACTTTTTTCTTCTTCTACGAATGACAGACATGGGATCTTTAACGTCCACTGTGAGGCAGACGGCGCGTAGTAATTATATTGTGAATATTCCCGCGGTACAGGGCTGTCTCTGCAACAAGCGGCAAATGCGCTACCCCCCCCACAAATTGACTTTCCATTGATGATGATGACAATTACAAATGCTGCTCCCACTCACCTTCTTCTCGAACTCATCCACAAGGGCCGGACTGGCCAACTTGCTGCGATACATGGCCCAGTCGATGGCAGCCGGCTTCTCTGGGAGCGAGGAGAGTCTGCAACGAAACGCAGGATTCAGCCAACACACTCGGCGGACACGGGGGTTCAACACACTGGGAATTAGAATATTTACTTATACTGGAGGAGGAATCCGATGAGCTATGAAGCGCTTTTTCACAGCTGTCCAGGAGGGGCAACGGGGCAAGAACGTTACAACAACAAACAGCAAAAAACACATGAGAGGAGTGCAAAGTACAAGAAAGGTCAACAAATCACCCAAACAAAAAAATTAACTATCCCTATCCTACCAGGCAAAGCCCACTGAGATATTAACTTATTTTTCAGAAGCTGGTCACAAATGACAGCTCAACAAAGTCGCACATAATTTGGACATTTATTGCAGCAAAATAATCTAAATAAGTCGAACTCACTCTCTACAGCCAGGGTCTCTCGCTTGTTAACCCTCGTCACTCAATGACTGCCCAAAGCAATCGCCAATATTACTAGAGGTGCTGCAATGTGTGCCGACTGCGATGAAGAAGCAAATCACGTCTGAGATTAATACAATTGAAACATTTGTCTGCGTTAATTAAATACAATTTTTTGACCCTCCGATTAGCAGTTAGCAATGTATGGTGCGAAATAAATTCAATATACACACATCAATTTATTCTTAAGACACTTTATAAATTCGTTGCCAATGATATCTTCGTGTGAATGGGGATACTTGAATTAAGCCACAATAAACAAACGACACTGTATGAGGCTTTCATTATAAAACCCAAAGACGCCTCAATCTAAAATAATCTCTTATTGGAGTGGTGACGACGTCGTGCTGAAATTGTAAATGTTGTGGGTTTAATCTCCAACACACTGATAGGTTGATGTAGTAACTGCTTGGCACGTTTTGTTTACGTGACAAACCTTTATTACTTACGCGATCTATTGCGATTCAATTGAACGAATAAAAATGTACACTTTCGACCAAATTATGCTAAAACAAATGACACATTTCGCATATATAGAAACATTGTTAACATGCCGTACCAAAGTGGGAGCCATGCGTGAATAATGAAAGTCACACATCGTCCGATGTCGCATCGCACACATGGGATTACCTTGGGATCGTGCGTAAATCTCAAGGTTCACCAAGGGCAGTGGTTCTTAACCTGGGGTTGCATGTACCCTCAGGGGTGCGAGACATGGCCAGATCTTTTTAGAAGGTAAATAATCGCAACCACAAATTAAGCAAGGACACGTAAGTACAACTACTTTGTTTCATCAAACGTATGTATTTATTAACATTAGGGGTAGAGGCTACAGTAACAGGTTAAGGACCACTGTTCTAAAGAGTCCTGTCGAGTGATTGCAAAAAAAAATTCCTATCCACTTGTGCCACTCCTCCGCACTGCGTTCGACCACCACACTGCAGGTGACAATAAGCTCTCTCTCGCTCTGCCTCTTCCCTCGCCATGCTCCCCTTCACATTAGAATCCCCTGCCGCCATCATCACCATCTCCTTTCCGAATAAAAAGCTTGCTCGATTCAAGAAAGGCGTCGACTCGTATCTATGACAGCTATGGTATCTGCTGCTTGTTGCTGATCGCTTGTTGAGCCCTGTGCTCAGAACACTGTGTAAACAAATAAAATACAAGGTGCCAGTGGAAGCCACAAAGCAAGAGGGTGTGTGTGTGAGAGAATCAGTCAGAGGAAGAATCCGATGAGCTATAAAGCTCATTTATCACAGATGTCCAGTAGGAGCACGGGGTCAGAACGTTAAAACAATACAAAAACACCACGGGAGTGCAATGTATAGGAAAGGAAAACAAATCACTTAAAAATAAACTTTTTTTTATCTTACCAAGGCCCACTGGTGGGCGGGGGACTTTAGGCCATGTGACATGAAGGCAAAGATCCCCCGTGTAGTCTTAACAGACTGTTGGGGCAAGTGCTGTGAGCTAGCGCATATGAAGGCCGATATGGTACAAAAATATACAAATAAAACTAAACTACGTTCATCTTACCAGGTAAAACCAACCAAGCTGTTAGCTTATTTTCAGAAGCGTCCTGGCCGCAAATGATAGCGCAACAAAGTGGCTTATTACGTGTAAATTTATAGTGGCCGAATAATATTAGCCAGTGTCCTTCATTCATTTTCGGAGTGGGGGGGTGGGGGGGACCCACTTTTTCCAATAAGACATAATCAGTGCAAGGGCCGCTACACATTCTAAACCACTGGGGTTTGACAGCACGATAGGGGTGTGTTCACACGTTGTGTATTGTCGGGAGCTGCACGTCAGGGGCCGCAGCAAAGGCCACCAGGGGCAGCCAGTGGCCCGCGGGCCTTGCACTGAAGAATGCTGCTCGAGAGGAAGACCACCGTGGAGATGATGACATCAGCTCATGCACAGCAGCAAGATGGTTTACTGTATCACAGTACTAACACCGGCTTACAGAAGCGGACAGAACATGGTCTATGGTGATCATTTTAGTTGAAGTCCAATGCAAAGTACAATATCAATAGGAAACGTATCAAGACTCCACCATATATCACGTTAATTTATGTCGATGTTTGTGTATCTGCTATACATTTAACCAGCTTTAGACCGTCACAACCTACAACGAGCAACAGAAACCTTGGTTTGCAGATGCATCAGGATGTAACGATCTAAATCACCTGGTCTATCCGTCGCTCTTCCCTCTTTGAAGCTGGATTCATCGTTTGGAAATGTCGGGCGGGAAAAAAAATATATATCTATAATAGAGGTTTTGTTTTGGTTCGATCGCGTGAGTATATAAATGTGTCGTTAAACCCGCCACCATCTGACACAGCCAATTAGTAAGGTTTATCATGTAAAAAGAACACGCCAATTCGTTCCGAGTACAGCACACTGGTGTGTTGGAGAAGTAAATCCACAACATTCACAATCTGAGTATCGTGACTTCGCCAGTAATTACAACCAGCATCATCAGGCTGCAGCCTGGTGATGCGAATTGCTCGTAGATACTTTTGATCATTGTCCCACGGTGGCCTTGCAAACGAAGAGGGGGAAAGTGGGGGGGGTAAAGTGGGGGGGGGGGGGGGTAAGTGGAGCGGGGGGAAGTGGTGGGGGTACTGGGGGGGGGGAACTGGGGGGGGGGGACCCCCGCGAGGAACCCGAGAGACAGTCTTCTCACTTGGCGGCGATGGCGTCGCTGCGCGTCTTGAGCGCGTTGAACATCGTCTTTTGGTTGGGAGGGATGCGCTCGCCAAACGCCGTCCAGTCCAGCGCCTTCACAGCTGCCCTGCGTCCTGCCATCACTGGGTCTGGCTGCAGCACGCACGGGGGGTGGGTGGACGAGTGGGTACGGGAAGCAACGGGCGGAGGGACAAAACGAGGACACGGGGAGAGAGAGGGAGGCATGAGAACAGGGAGACGGGGGGGGGGGCAGGCAGGAGAAAGGGATGCACAGAGGGAGACGTGGGGGGGTCACAGAATGAGAGGGAGGCGTGGGGGGACAGGGAGAGAGGGGGACAGGGAGAGAGGGGGACAGGGAGAGACACAGGGAGAGAGGTGGACAGGGAGAGAGGGGGGCAGGGAGAGAGGGGGACAGGGCGAGAGGGGGACAGGGCGAGAGGGGGACAGGGCGAGAGGGAGACAGGGAGAGAGGGGGACAGGGAGAGAGGGGGACAGGGTGAGAGGGGGGTAGGGTGAGAGGGGGGCAGGGTGAGAGGGGGGCAGGGTGAGAGGGGGACAGGGAGAGACACAGGGAGAGGTGGACAGGGAGAGAAGGGGGCAGGGTGAGAGGGGGACAGGGAGAGAGGGGGACAGGGTGAGACACAGGGAGAGAGGGGGACAGGGAGAGAGGGGGTCAGGGTGAGAGGGGGACAGGGTGAGAGGGGGGCAGGGTGAGACAGGGAGAGAGGGGGACAGGGAGAGAGGGGGACAGGGTGAGAGGGGGACAGGGAGAGACACAAGGAGAGAGGGGGGCAGGGTGAGACACAGGGAGAGAGGGGGACAGGGTGAGAGGGTGACAGGGAGAGAGGGGGACAGGGAGAGACACAAGGAGAGAGAGGGACAGGAGCACAGGGTCATTGAAAGAGAAACAGGTAGATTGGGGCACCGCGGGATAGGGGCACGCGAGCACAAGGAGACAAGGACACGGGGACACAGAGAGACACAGGGAGACACAAGGGTACAGGGAGACACAAGGGTACAGGGAGACACAAGGGTACAGGGACACAGGGAGTGAGGGAGACGGCACAGGGACACAGACACCGAAAGACAGAAAGATGAAGGTCAAGCGAATGGCGGCGACTCCACCGCTCTCTTCACGCGGGGACTGCGACCGCTCTCCCGGCGCACGCGAGCCCCCTACCCCCCCCCCCTACTACCCCCCCCCTGCTGCTGCTCCCCCTGCCGCTGCTCCCCCGCGTCTCCATTCTGCCCGGCTCCCCCCCCCCCCGAGCCTGCTTCTACGGTTTCTCCCGCCACTTCTTCCCATCGCCCTACCCGACGATGTTTTAGTTTTGTTTTCTTCCCCGCGGATTACGCCGCCGCCGCCGCCGCCGCTTCCGACGTTGTCCACCCCCTGCGTCTACCCCACACCTCTCCCTCTCTGTCCTCGCGTCTCCACGAGGCCCCCACTCACGGTGCTCTGCGTGCTGCGCGCGTGCGACGGTGACGAGCGCGGCGACCAAGGTGACCTCAGGTAACCCGGAACCGGAAAGTGGCGGAACGCGCCCCGACCGGAACCTCCCCGCCCCCCCCCAAAACCCACGACCGCCCCCCCGCTCCCCCGATTCCCCCTCCCTCTCTCTCCCTCCCTCTCTCTCCCCCCTCTCTCTCCCCCCTCTCTCTCCCCCCTCCCTCTCTCTCCCCCCTCCTCGCTCTCTCCCCCCTCCTCGCTCTCCCTCTCCCCCTCCCTCTCCCCCCTCTTCTCTCTCCCCCTCTCCCCTCCCTCTCCCCTCTCCCTCTCCCCTCCCCCTCCCTCTCTTCCTCCTCTTCCCTGCTCCCCACTCCCGGCACCCTGCTCCTCCCCCTCCTCTACGCTCCTCCCCCTCCTCTACGCTCCTCCCCCTCCTCTACGCTCCTCCCCCTCCTCTACGCTCCTCCCCCTCCTCTACGCTCCTCCCCCTCCTCTACGCTCCCCCCCTCCCTGATGCCCCCACCGCTCCCCCCTTCCTGCTCCCCCTCCCTGCTCCTCCCCGCTCCCCATCCGACACGCGACACGTTCAGAGCCACGCGTACACGGGCGCTGGAACAGGATAACGTCAGTACTCGACTTACGAACGGCTGCGCTTACGAACGCCCGTACTTACGAGACTTCTACGAAATATAAACCAAATGAAAGAAATGTAAACATTGACTTAAAACAGCGAACTCTCAGTTGCAAACTGAAACCTCGGAACAATTTTGTTCAGGGGAGCGAGGTATAAATAAAGTCGACCTCGTGCTGGGAGTGAGTGGAATGAATCCGCGACAGAATGAATGACAGATTATGTTTAAGTTTTTAGGCCCATATTTGGAGCAATTGGACGTGGTGTTGCTCATTGAAGTGAATACTGAAACGGAGAATCGACGACGTATTTTAACGATCCAAAAGTTCGATTGAATGGTAATCGACCGACTTTTAGCGATACAAAGGCTCGGACACTGCTTGATCCATACTTGAATATGTCTGTGTTCGAACATGGATCGAGCTGTAATAAAACTCACCTTTTATTTATCTTACCAGGTAAGGCGCACTGGTGGGGGGGGGGGGGGGGGGGAATTGGGCCATGTGACATGAAGGCAAAGATCCCCCGTGTAGCCTTAACAGACTATTGGGGCAAGTGCTGTGAGCGAGAACCTATGAAGGCTGGGTGGTTTGGCCAGCACCACACCCGGCCGCCTTTGTCTCCCACGTGGCGATGTTTACACACTGCACCAGGCACTTATTTGAGGCTGAGTCGACCTAGGAGAGGCCCAAGGACCGGGTCAGATAATCGTCACCGGTGTTGGCCGTGAGCCGGAATGGAACTACGGTAGCCGGGTTCGTGGCGCCGTGCCACAGCTACCCACGACGTGGCAAGGCCATCAAGCGAACTCCGGTGGACATTCTCGCAGCAGCGGCTTTTGGCTGCTGCCATCGAACAAAGACGGCGGTCACCGCATCGCGTGGTGCTTTCAGATGAGCTTCTGTGGCCGTCTGGAACGCTCTTCCTTCCGATATTTGGAAGCCGCTGGCGCTATGCACTTTGAAATCATATTGTAAACTCATTTCTTTAGAACGGATTTTTGTGTTTAGTTTATTGTCCTTCCCCCGCACAATTAGAACGGTTGGTTACGTACTGTGCAAAAGAAGTTCAACATAGATACATTAGGTATCATGCCCTCGGTTGTTCCTGTGGGGTCATGACATACATTTCAGAAGCCGGATTAGGTGATACGATTATGAATTACTGGATGTTGTCCTGATGTTTGACGTAGTTTCAATTCGCAACGTCATATCTTGTTGATACACATTTGATTTTAAGAATTGTCCTTCAAATTAACGGTGAGCTGAAACAGTAATAACTGGCACTTTTGTACACACCACAATTGTATTTGTTTAGCCGTGTTGGGTGGTGGAGGGTGTGAACGACACATATTTTGTCAGATAATTACGTGGCCTGACACAAAGAAAATATTATGAATCACAAGTGAATATATTCCATAGTTTAATTCAGAAAACGTTCACCCAAGTTTCCTCATGTAACGGCCACGAGGGATTGTGAATATTATATTAGGTATCAATTAATTTGTTCATGACGCAAGCATAGAATCGTCCGCGGGAAAACTCGGCTATTTACATTTTTTTTGCAAATTATGTACTGTTAACTTTAATCTAATGGAGCAAGCAAAAATATGTAAACAAGACATTTAGTTACGCACTCCAACGCCCATCCAATGATGGGTTCCAATGTAAGAATGAAATATATTCGTCTCGTTATCGCGTCCCATCTGGATTGTTGTGGTTCGGTGTTAGAAATCACTCGAGTACCACAGAGTCTATTTTAGTCACTTACCATCACCGTGAAGCAGAGGTGGAAGACTGCTTCTAGAATCCACCACGCAGAGGGCTGATTCTCATGGACTTGTAGAGTTTTCTAGGGAGACCCTTATAGCTCGAGAGACCCTTCGTGAACCCAGATCCCTGGGTTTGATCTTCCACGAAGCTCATGGTCCATCCTAAACCGCCGTGACTATGAGACGTTCGCTACCATGCCTGGTGTGCAGGAGGTCGTGGGTTCGATCCCGTCCCTGACGCCTGCTGCTGCTGTATATTTGGAGTTTGCGTCTCTCCCCGTGGTCGCGTTGATTTTTCTCCTGGTCCTCCGATTTCCCCTCCGAGTTCAGAATCAACATCATACGTTCAGATTATTTGTATGCAATACATTTCCACGTGATGATGATAAGCCACTTCCATTGAGCTTTCATTTGTGGCCATTGTTCGAAGAGTCCAAAACGTGAGATAATAAGTAGGCAGAGTACACATTGTTGCACGCATCTCCAGGAATTGTCAAGCACACGTGCGTCAATAACATTGACCGCGTTACAAAGGTCAGGGATGGTGTCTTGACACTTCCTTGTGCACTGTTTACACTTACAGCAGTGTGAGTAACGTTCGGTTAGGAGTTTTAATGTTAATGTTTTTGTTTATCACAGGATTATCTGTTTTATTCTGGCTTACCCGAGTCCGGCGATGTGAGTTCTCTGTTTTATTACTAACACCAAAGACAAAGGCACCCCCTTCCCCAGGTAGCCTTAACAGACGATTGGGGCAAGTGTTGTCAAGCGAGTAGCAGAACCTATATGGTATACGAGGGGATGGGTTGGCACCACTCTCGGCCGCCTTTGTCTCCCCCAGTGGCACCAGGATGAGTCGACATTGGCTAGGTCCCAGGACCGGTTCAGATAATCGTCACTGGTGGTGGTTGGCCGTGAGCGGGAATCAAACTCATACTTGTCAAACCACACGGTTTACCTCGTATTATTTTTACAGGGACATTGAGTTCTCAGGTCCACACGGCGTACAGCCGTTAGAATACGGGCAACACATTTTGTTTTGTGTTTGTTGTGTTTCTCACTTGAGATGGGGGTAGGGGGGGTGTCAAGTGTCCGTACGCAGGTGGGGCGGGGGGTGTATAAAGTACGCGTGCGTACAGGGAGGAGGGGGTTAACTTCTTACAGATGTTTGCGTTCGTACTAAATGCTAAATGGATGGCCCCTGAGGTCTGAATTGATCTGTAATAAAGTAGGGCACTGACAAGGGGTTGACAGCACTGCGAACTCGGGAAATCTTGCCGGGTTCGTAACGCAGTGCGCTAACCGCGGCACCACCGCTCCCCGTTCCCCCCTACAGAGCAAGACGCGGGTGGTTTGCTCCACACGGCGCCCCTCCTACCCCGCGCCCCCCCCCCCCCCCAGCATGCGCCGCCTTTAGTCGCGCCCTGTCCGCCTCGCTCGCTCACTCGCAGAGGGAACGCCACTCGGGCACGCACGGAGACAAGCAGAGAGGGAGACCACCGCGCCGTGCCGTGGCCTCAACACCGGCGGGGGACTCCCGAGCCTCGACCCCTTTCACACCTCGCCGAGTCTCGTCAATGGCTGGGACGGCGCGGGACGGCGGCGGCAGCTGCGGTGGTTGTGGTGGTGATGCCGGTGGTGGTGGTGGTAGTGGTGCTGGTGGTGATGCAGGTGGCAACGGCGGCGTTGGCCGCGTTGTAGTCGGCGGCGGCGGCGTTGTCGGCGGCGTTGGCTCCACGTGGGTGCGGCTCAACGTGGGCGGCACGCGCTTCACCACCACGCGGCACACGCTGAGCCGGGAGCCGGGCTCCGTGCTGCACGCGCTCGGGGCTGCGGGGCCCGGCGAGGCCGAGCAGGTAGCTCGCTCCACCACCACCATCATGATCAACACCACCACCATCATCACCACCACCAACACCGTCATCATCAACACCACCACCATCATCACCACCACCAACACCGTCATCATCATCAACACCATCAACACCACCATCATCACCATCATCATCACCAACACCACCATCATCATCACCAACACCACCATCATCACCAACACCACCATTATCATTACCACCAACACCATCATCATCAACACCACCACCACCATCACCACCACCAACACCATCAACACCACCAACACCATCATTACCACCAACACCACCGACAACACCACCACCACCACCGTCTACCGCGACTGATTCACCTACACACCACATACTACCATTGTTACTGCACATACATTACTACTACAAACTACCATTGTTACTGCACACACATTACTACTACACACTACCATTGTTACTGCACACACATTACTACTACAAACTACCATTGTTACTGCACACACATTACTACTACACACTACCATTGTTACTGCACCCACACATTAATACTACACACTACCATTGTTACTGCACACACATTACTACTACACACTACCATTGTTACTGCACACACACATTACTACTACACACTACCATTGTTACTGCACACACATTACTACTACACACTACCATTGTTACTGCACACACATTACTACTACACACTACCATTGTTACTGCACACACACATTACTACTACACACTACCATTGTTACTACACACACTACTACACACTACCATTGTTACTGCACACACATTACTACTACACACTACCATTGTTACTACACACACTACTACACACTACCATTGTTACTGCACCTACACACACACTACTACACACTACCATTGTTACTACACGCACATTACTACTACACACTACCATTGTTACTGCACCTACACACACATTACTACTACACACTACCATTGTTACTACACACACATTACTACTACAAACTACCATTGTTACTACACACACTACTACACACTACCATTGTTACTACACACACTACTACACACTACCATTGTTACTACACACACTACTACACACTACCATTGTTACTGCACCTACACACACATTACTACTACACACTACCATTGTTACTACACACACTACTACACACTACCATTGTTACTGCAACCACATCACTACTACACACACCATTGTTACTGCACCTACACACACATTACTACTACAAACTACCATTGTTACTGCACACACATTACTACTACACACTACCATTGTTACTGCACACACACTTTGCTACTACACACTACCATTGTTACTGCACACACACTTTGCTACTACACACTACCATTGTTACTGCACCTACACACACATTACTACTGCACACACACATTACTACTATACACCACCATTGTTACTGCACCTACACACACATTACTACTACACACTACCATTGTTACTGCACTACACACACATTACTACTATACACCACCATTGTTACTGCACCTACACACACATTACTACTACACACTACCATTGTTACTGCACTACACACACATTACTACGACACTACCATTGTTACTGCACCTACACACACATTACTACTACACACTACCATTGCTACTGCACCTACACACACACTACCATTGTTAATGCACACACACACACAATACGACTACACACTACCATAGTTACTGCACCGACACACTACCAGGCCGGAACGGTACACGAGGGGTTGGGTGGCCAGCACTACGCCCGACCGCCTTTGTCTCCCTAGTGGTAATGTTTACCCACCGCACCAGGTACTCATTTCAGGCTGAGTCGACCTAGGGGAGGCCCAGGACCCGTTCAGATAATCGTCACCGGTGTTGGCCGTGAGCGGGAATCGAACCCGGGTCGCTGGGTTCATAGCGCAGCGTAGCGCAGCGCTAACCGCTACACTACCGCTCCCCACTACTACTACAACAACAACCGCCATTCGCCACTAAGTGGCGGTGACGTCACCACGACGCTTGTGACAGGCTATGTGCACCTTGAGGCCACGTGAAGTGTCGAACGCCCGCTGGCAGGAGGTCACGGGGCAGACCCAGATGCCACGGGTCGACTGACTGAGATGACTGGCTGATGCACCACCTGTGTCCCCTACTGTGCCAACCTGCTGTGCTTTAGCCAACCGGCGCTCCGCTCGTTGTTGTGAGCGTCGCTCCTCCGCCCTCCGTTGTTGTTGGAGGGCGACTGCCTCCAACTGCCCAGTAGTGTCCTTCAAGAGCCTCCTCCACAGAGGCCGATCTTGACACCGCTGGTACCAGTCATCGGCAAGTCCACTCAGCTCCACGTCCTCCTGTACCACATCACTCCATCTCTTCTCTAGCCCGTGCCGCGCCTGTTTAACCCCCTCGATCCGGCCGAACAAAAGCTGTTTCGGCATGCGGTGGCTGGGCATGCGGGCTACATGACCCAGCCAACGCAGCCTTGCCTGCCGGAGGAGCTCACCGATGGGACCTTGCCCAGATCTTTCAAGGATTTGTGAGCTCACACAATCCAGCCTGGTTAAACCCAGGATGGATCGTAGGCAGGCTAGCCTAAATGTTTCTAACCGGCGAAGATGTTCTATTAAGGGGGTCCACGTTTCGCAAGCGTAGAGAAGGGAGGGAATGACCGTGGCCGAGAAGACCTGAAGCTTAGTGCGGAGCGACAGACCAGGTAGCTTCCACACAGCGTTACGCAACCGATGAAAAGATATTGCCGCTCGACTGATTCGGAGTGAGACCTCTGCTGTTAAACTGGAGCCGGTCATAAGCACACTGCCCAGGTATGGGAAACTCTCCACTCTCTCCACAACTGCCCCATCACCGATTGGGAGTTGTGGGGGTGGAGTGTCCGATGGTACAAAATACCCAGGCAGGTGCTTAGTTTTGGTGGGGCTGATGGTAAGGCCCCATCTCTTAGTGGCACGCTCCAGTCTCAGCAGCAGCGTCTCCAACTCCTCTGAATGAGCAGCTATTACCAAATCATCGGCATACATAACATGGTTGAGCAATAGGGAGTCATCCCTTGACCGCACCCGGGCATCGATCAGCCTCCCATTATATCTGTACCAAATGGAGATTCCCCCGGTACAGCTATTGAAGGCTTCACAAACTACGTGGTCAAAATAGATGTTAAATAATGTGGGAGCCAGAGGACATCCCTGTCGCACCCCAAGGTGTACTGGGAATGGCTCCGACTCTCGGCCACGTAGTTTTACCCGGGCCCACTCACCATCATGAAGGTCCTTAATGATTGTGAGCAGCGGGTTACGGACTCTGAAAGCACGAAGAACAACACAGAGCCCAGGCCGATTGATGGTATCATAGGCCTTGACTAGGTCAATAAAGCAGAGATGTAGGTCTTGTTGGAATTCCCTACACCTATGCTGTAGCAGACTGACAGAAAATATGGCATTTGTGCAGGACTGCCCTTTCCTGAAACCACATTGGGGCTCCACAAGCCTCTCCTCAGCGTGCCTGGCAAGGCGATGTTGAATAATCCTTGCCAGGACCTTTCCCGGCACACTGAGGAGTGAGATGCCCCCTGTAGTTCTTACAGTCTGTGCGGTCCCCCTTATTAAAGAGGGGGACCACCAGGGCTTCCTTCCAATCCTGTGGAACCCGTCCAGTGGTCCAGACTGTTGTTATGATGTCATGTAGGGCAGTCTGTGCACAAACGCCACCCTCCCTCAGCATTTTGCTTAGGAGATCATCTCTGCCCGGTGCCTTTCCTGGTCTCAGGCTCTGGATCACCTTCAGTACTTCCTCAACTTATGGCACCTCAGCCAACCACTCACAGGGGGTGACTTCTTCCCATCTTTGAGGCACCACAGCTTCAGCAGGGTCATCCCCACTTTGTCCCATGATGTTTTCCAGGCTGAGGGATTTCCCTTCCCCCAGGACCTGACAGAAATGCTCAGCAAATCTGCAAATCTTTTCCTGGGGTTCGGAGATTGGGTCATCATTCTGTCCCCTAATGATGGTAATAGGTGTGGCGCTGCAGGTTACTTTTTTGATTGAATTAAAGAGCGATTTGTGATCGTGGGCCATTGAGGCAGACTCCATCTCCTCAGCAACCCGCGACCACCAACGATCCTTGCAGCACCTCACGGTTCTCCGAACCTCCGAGCGAAGGCTGTGGTAAGCCACCTCATTCTCTGACGTGGGATACTGTAGACCAGGGGTGGGGAACGTCTGGCCCGCGGGCCGTATAAGGCTCGCGAAATCATCACACTAGTGGTGAGTTAATTAAATGTTTGACCAAATATAACAGGCTAATCTTTCAGTTGATACTTTTGTATGGCCCGTGAATGATGTTATTAATGTCCAAATGGCCCTTGGCAGAAAAAGGTTCCCTGCCTCTGCTGTAGACAATGAGAGTGGGCCTGTCCCTTTTTCTCAGCCAGCCTGAACACCTCCTCTGTTAGCCAGGGTCTCTGGAGAGGTCTGGACCGTGTACCCAAAGCAGCCATTGCAGCTGCATGAGCCACAGTCCTCGCCCATTTCCCGTCGACATCAGGAAGAGTGGGGGACGATGCCAACCCCAGCCGCACGCGATGATGAAATTCTGGCTTGCAACTTTCATCAGCTAGCTGAGACCACGCTAATATGGGTTTGAATGGGGTCCTGGGTGGACACCTACCACCGGAGTGTAAGAATGGCAGGCGCATCTTACATATGACAAGTCGATGGTCAATGAGCAGATCAGCTCCACGGTAGGTCCTGGTGTCAAGGACATGGGCCCGCAATCCGCTGTTCCGTCACTATGTAGTCTCGCTTGGACCCGGCATGCATTCATGATGTTGTGTGGATGCGTCGATGCCGGAACAGCGTGTTTGTAATTACAAGCCCATGGGCTGCACAAAAATCTATCAGCCTCCTACTGTTGTTATTGAGCTGATCTGGCCCATGTCTTCCAATCACTCCAGACCAGGTGCTAGCATCATGACCAACTCAGGCATTGAAGTCCCCTAACAAGATGA